ATGAATTTAAATGAAATTTAAATGAAAATTTTAAATGAAAAGTTCCTGGTCTGTATTACTATATAAGTGAAACATTTCACTGCCTTTATTATTTTAATATTGTTTTTAATTAATGGGCTGCATTACTAACTTCATTTATAACTGTTTTTTATTAACTTTTGTTATTGTTAGTAGCAATACACTAGTTTCCTTCTGATCCCATTATGTGACTTGGAATTACACATTTACATGTACATGTATGTTACCAATCTGCACAGTATGATACTTTTTGTGTTTACATGTAAATTTATTGCATGGATTAAAATTGTTTATCATTTATTATTTTTATTATAGCTCCTGCATTTTGAAAAGTTTGTGGAATTTCATTGCTTTTTTTTAAATTAGTAAAAATGATGAAACCCTTTGAATGTTTGATGCTAATATTGTAAATGTAACTTGTCATTGTTGTTGCAGCTACACAGCATTCAGACAGTGTGTAGGAGCATAATACAATTTGACAGAAGTTGACAGAAGCTATAGGCATTGACTCTAGCAAGAAAGTTTGATGCCTCAAAATTTCGTTATGACATACGGTAGGGCTCCTTTTATCAAGGGCTATAAATGTTTCATGAAAGCACATACAATGTACATGTATACAAGTACATGTATGTATTTTGACTTCAGCATATAGATTATAATTGCAAGGGATGTGTTGACATGTACACGTGCACATATTTTGAAATAGGGATGTCATTTTTGAGCTACATGTATTTTAAGACATTACAAGCTATTCAACATTTTTTTAATGAATTACAGTATTTGTCTATAATTGAAAATCCCAAACTAAAAGTGAAATCCTGCATAAGCTGCAAGACATTACCATAACTTAATTAGTGTTTTTGCTAGCAGGTGGCAGATTTTCTCATGCCAGGGGTCACTATAGAATTTGGAAATGCTTTGTAGATCTTGATTTTTTGTTTTGTCAAAGTTCCTAAGTTGTTCCAGACAGCATGTTCTCATGAAGAATTAACTTTACAATACCAATTATTATAATTGCTACTCTGCAGCAGTTAGGCATGAACAACATAAGCAGAGGTCCTCCTACATTTACTGTATGTATAGACAATATGCTGTATGTCTGTTGAAAAAATTAAAATCGCTTGCTATGGCATGTAGCTTAATTAATTAATTTAATCCTTTGTAGTTTATGCACCTTTTTGAGGTAACTCAAGTTAGTTCACAGACTTCACACAAGGCATTTCTCCAGAGTTAAAGAAATAATACCAACTGCATGTTTCTCTGAAACCTAAGCAAACTATTTTTAATTACAGATTGAGTGTATGCACCTTAGTGCTTTTACAATTTTTGGAAATTTTGTGGAGCCATTTTGATTTCCTGTGTGCTTATTGTAGTTATTATTAACATTGTAACCTACACAATGTCAGAAATGCTACTTTACTCAACTGCATGAGTCATGTGACCATTTTTCTACACAATGCAGTTAGCATTATACCTTGGTGCTTATTTATTAATAAGATCTTGCTCACATCTCTGTCCTGAGTATTTACCTTATGTCTTAAGTAAAGGGAGCTTTTTGTTAATGACAATAGTTGAAGCATAATGAATTGACACCTCGTTAATTTTTGGTTTGTATTTTGTGGTAAGCCACTAACCCACGAATAAAATTCTATTTTATGAGTTAATTCAAATACAAGGACAACGTAACAACACTATTGATAAATAACAACACTATAATAATATTAATAATGTTTGTACTAATTGAGATATACAGTGCATGTAACAGTGATTAAGTCATTATTCCTTTTTTTGTCTTTTTAAATTTGGGCATTCAAAATCATTTGATTCCACCAATTCTGAAAATGAGGGTCTCATTGATATTTGTGGTCGTCTTCCTTTTATGCGACCTTAGGAGAATATTAATAGATATTATATTAATTAACTAATTACTATTATTTACTAATATGTACCTGACTGTACAATATGGTCCAGTTCAATGTCTGCCTCATTTTGTTTACTTATTCTCTCTGATAAATTTGTTCCTTTGATATCAAGAGGGTCATCTTCATGTTTGTGATTATTTGAACCCAATCGATGTTTTCTTGCCCCATCTGATATTTCAGGTGTGCATAGTGTATCATCAGTTATGATGTTGCTTTTGGTTTCACCTATTAATTATACTTGTTACTATACTTACATGTATACATGTACATACATACATACGTCACTACATTAATATCCACATGCAATCATAATCTTAAACACATAATATTGGCTGCATGTTTTAAATGGTTGCACCTGTCAGCTGTACATACAAAGTTAGTTTGTGTTTAGTTAGTGTTTTTTTCCTAATATTTCCTTGTTTTTATGCCCTGCATCATGTTTGTCTGTAGTCTATAAATACAATGCACAATCTATTAGATATCACAGCTATATGTACATATATGTACATGTTGTTTACATTAAATATTGTTTATGATGCATGAGTAGGGGAAGCGCATTATATGTTTATTGTACATGTTTGTACATGTTTATTGCTTATTTTGATAGAAATTCATGTACTTGTTGCTGTTGTTTTCAATGAAGCATCAAAGTGTTATTTTAAATCAAACAGTAATGGAAACATGTTTAATATTGTTGATCGGTATTGTGTATCAGTTCTATATCAGGCATAACCATGAGAAAGTTTACTAATTTGCAAACCCTCG